CCCCCACCTGTCCCCCATGTCAAAACACAACATCACTCCCCCCAACAGCACCTCTTAGCGCCAGTACCAGAGGGCACCCAAATCGGGCAGGTGACCCTGGCGGCAACCAGTTTTGAGCCCTTCGATGCCGCCAGCAGCGGCGGCATAGCTTCATACTTCGCCCGCGCTGGCGGCGGCGCGCAGACTGGGGTTCGTGAGGGCGGCGTCGATGGCAACTCGGGTGGTACGGCCAGGGAGACTGGCGATCCTGGGCAGAGGCCGCGCGTTGCTGATGCTGCGGCTGCAGGCGGCGCTTTGGGGGAGGCCGTTGGCAGGAGCGACCAGGCGGGAGGGGTGGCCGAACAAGAGAGGCCAGCATCCCCAGACGTTGCAGCGCCGCCGCCATCCAAGCGGCCCGCACCTCCAGCGTCGCCGCCGTCAGCACCCTCCGACGCCGGCAGCCCGCCCGCGCGGCGGGCTGCCCCGGCAGGCACCGCGGCAGCCCTGGGGGCCCCTCGCCCACAGCAGCAGCAGCAGCAGCAGCAGCAGCAGCAGCAGCAGCAGCAGCAGCAGCAGCAGCAGCAGCAGCAGCAGCAGCAGCATGGGCAGCAGCTCAAGCTGACAGAAGCCCTCGGTGCCCTCGTTTCGCAGAGCGCGCGCGAAGCGCGCCGGCGCCTGGAGGGGGCCCTGGCAGCCCACGGGCTGGCCCCCCTTACAATGTCCCTGGGGCCGTTTGACGCGACCCCGCAGCAGTCAGTTGAGGGGCGCAGAGGGCGAGATGAAGAGGAGTGTGAAGACGTTGTGATGATCGGGTAGTCGCAGGCTGCGGGTAATGCCTGCATTTGACTCTCAAGGCTGGTTGTGTGCGATACTGGATCGCTGTTCTTGTGAGCACCATTGAGAAGAGGCAAGCGACAGCGCGAGGCCCGACTTGATGTGTTTTGTGAGCAGGCCAGCAGTGTAACCCAGGCGGTGCAGAGCATAGCAGTGGTACGTCCCAAGCATACCAGTGGTGCGTGGGACGATACCTCAAGTAAAGCCACAAGTGACAGCAAGGCATGATGGGTGCGGCACTGCACATGATGGCAATGGTGTCTGGCGACACACACCTATCAATGGGATTGAGTGACACATTGGGCGCAAAAGAAGCCAGATGTATTGACATCACACTGATTGGTGATACGATTTGTGGTACGAGACCCGATGGAAAAGGTACAGGCAGGGATACCCCACTTGCCTTACTTGTGCACTCTGCTGCTTGCTGCACACACACGCTTGCTGCTGCGCCACGGCGGGTGAGAGGGTCGCGGCCGACTACAACTCCAAGGTAGTCGAGGTATCCTTTTGTCACACTCGCTTCGTCCAACCGCTGTGCTGGACTCCTCATTCGGGGGGGAAGGGGTTGATAAGCTTATGAAAGATTTGAGAAAATCACCGTATGAGCCGGATCATCCTCGAAGAGCAGAACTACATCGTCAGGCGGTACTGCCGTGGTATCAGCGAAAAATCATCCCATTATCTCAAAATCTTACATTACAGGTGATAGGCTGATAGCCCAGCGAGGAGAACCCAGTGTCAGGTAAAAAAAATACTGTCTCGTTTTGGGTCAATCTTATCGGGAAGCTCATGGATTCGACTGCAATGCACTCCAAACAGCTGTATTGAGCGTTGTTTGTTATGACCAGGCAGCGCCAGCTGTGCAGCAATGCGGCGCTGGCAGCTGCCTCGATGGCAATGCAGCGTCCGTGGCAGAGGTGGCATGGGCGGGCAGCAGGCCGCAAACCCTAGCAGCAGCAGTGGCAATTTCCATTTTGCTCCTGCTTGAGCCTTTTTAGCTCAAAAAAGCACCACATGCCATTACAGGATGCTTGCATGGCTGTCCTGACACGCCTCGCTCTCGCCTCGGATCTCCCTGTCGCCAGGCCGCTCCACCGTCCACCGCCATGGCGGCATCCGCCGGCCTCACAAGCGGCGAGGCGCTGCGCCTGCTCAAGCTGCAGGCGTTCTTCAGCCAAATCCCCAGCAGGGACGCCGCACTCGCTGCGGCCGTCCTCTACGCCGCCACCAGCGTCGCAGTCCTCGCGACCACCATCAAAACGCGAGCGTGGTTCATGCTTATCGTGGCCATCACGGGCTTGTGCGAGGTGCTTGGTTTCGCCTTCAGAGTCGTCATGATTGCTGACCCCAAGCTTGCGTGGTTGGTGGCCATGCAGCTGTTCCTTATCGTGCCGCCCGTCCTCCTGGCGATCGTCGAATACGTCGCCGTCGGCCGCCTGCTGTGCATGAGCGCGGCCGGGCGCGCGTCCAAGCTCGGCGGGTGGACGGCGCGGCTGTTCACGGCGTCCGACGTGATCTGCTTGCTTGTCCAGGGGGCGGGCGGCAGCCTCGCGGGCACATCCCAAGAGAAAGCCGAGGTTGGACGCGCGCTGATCCTAGCCGGCCTGATCCTGCAGCTGGGCTTCTTCACGTTGTTCACTGGTGTTGCAATTCACGTGCAGCGGACCCCGCGTTTCGGCTTCCGCGGCTGCATGGCGCTGCGGCCGATGTTCGGCTGCATGTATGCAACCATCGCGTTGATGTACGTCCGAAACATATTCCGAGTCATCGAGTTTGGCCAGGGGTACAAAGGATATCTTGCTACCCACGAGGTGTTCTTCTATGTTTTTGACTTTGTCCCTATCTTCTCATGCTTCTTGCTTTTTACTTGGCTCAACTATGGGTTCTACTTTGGCGCGGCTGAAGCCGCCGCGGCCGCGGCCGACGCACGCGCTGGTAGCAGTGGCGCGCCCAAGCTGGTGGGTGATGTGGAGGCCGCTGCTGGCGGCAACGGCGCACTGCCAATGGTGGTCGTCGAGGCGCTGGGTGGCTGAGGGGCTCACAGTTGATGTATGCGCAAGGCGGGTGCGTATACAGGCATCGACGCTTGCTGGCTGTGCAGCAAGCATACTAATTGGTCTTCGACATACGAGTGAGACGCTTGTTGAAGGTCCAGCAAGCAGGTGTTGTACAATTAACGGACTATAGATGGTTGTTACATGCTCGTCCTGGGTGACATCTGTAGGCCGACGGGTGTGTCTGCAGCAGTCTTGCCTGCGGCTAGATCAGGGCAGTGCTGCATCCACGCAGGTGGGGGTCAGCTGGTCGCGGTCACGATTGCAGTATTAAAACAATTCGTAGTGGTGAGGACAATCTGTGATGTATGCCATTGAGATTCACGGGTGAGACCTCATGAGGCACTGACACAACACAGTTGGGTGTGGTCAAGCTTTGGTCAAACACACCACGGCGAGCAATTCAGCCTTCGTGGTTCGTGCCAAGCCAAAGAGTCCGGCCAGAGCGAATGCTCCTTGTGATGTTTTGTAGAATTTTGTTTATATGTACATGGCAATATGTTGAAACGGTCCAACCAAACCGGCAAGCCCTCAGCATTCCCCGAGGGTGTCGGTCACATGATCCAGCATTGGTGTCTCAGTGCTGGTGTCCATGAAGCTAACAGCGCGGAGAGGTTCTTGCGGTGCCATAAGCACGCAAAATCGCACATTAGTTTACAACAATCTCTGAGATCTTATGAACCATCCGCGATGATCTTCACGAAAGCCTCATCGCAACCACTGGCACAGGTAAGGGCGCAACCTTCGAGTCGAACATTTGAACAATTCTGGATTGGTAAAGTTCAGGAAGATCTGAGCCCACGCGTTGCGTTGCAGGCGCGACTCGTCGCGGCGCCGCTTGCGAGGATGTTGCTGGCACGAGTCCACGTGGGATCCGAGCGCGCTTGCGGGTATCCAACAGTGGTTGCCAGCACGACGCAGCGGCCTGCACCTGCCTTGCAGCTGCGCCGTCGCCGGGGAGAGCAGCGCAGGAGGTTTGGGCAGCAGCTGCTACTCGCACAACGGCGGCGGCAGCAGCAGCTTCAGCAGCAGCAGCAGCACCACCACCAGCAGCAGCGGCAGCGGCAGCAGAAGGACCTTTTGCTCATGTTTGATTTTGACAACACCCTTACAAACGGGGATGCAGGTACACGCGTATGCCTCGTGCCATTTGCCTTCGTTTCGGGCTGCAAGCGCTGTGGCCCGGCACCCTCTGTGCGAGCCTCTCTGCGCCGCAGCCATATCCTACCCGCCCCGCCGGGGCCGAGCCACCCAAACCCTCCTCCTGCACTTCCCGTCCCGGTGCAACCCCTGGCCAGGCGAGCGCCTCGTTGGCGAGCTGGCGCCCGACCTCCTGCCTGAGCTCGCCGCCCTGAAGATGCCCGCCAACTTTGTCCCGCTTACCAACAGCATCCTCGCCGCCATGGCGGCCCGCGGCGTGTCGCGCGGCGACATCGCCGCCACGCTGCAGAGGATGGGCGGCGAGGTCCCCGGCGGCACGGCGCGCATGCTGCGCGCGGCGCGCGCTCGGGGGGTGGACTTGGTCGTGGTCTCCGACTGCAACTCGGTCTTCATCAGCCACGTGCTCGCTTCTGCTCGGCTGCTCGGCTGCGTCTCGAAAATCATCACAAACCCCGCCGCGTTCGTCGCCGACGGCGGCGCCGCCGACGCCGAGCAAGCAGCGCCGCAGCGCGAGCAGCGCAGCAGGCTACTCATCGCACCGCGCCGCGCGGCGCCGCACGGCTGCCCCCGCTGCCCCGAAAACCTCTGCAAGGGTGAGGAGCTGCAGGCGGTGCTCGCCGCGGGCGGCTTCGCGCGCGTGGTTTATGGCGGCGACGGCGCCAACGACATCTGCCCGGCGCTGCAGCTGCGGGAGGGGGATATGCTGCTCGCGCGCCGGGGGTGCTCGCTCTCGGAGTTTGTGACCGCGCCCCATGGCGCCGCGGCGGCCGCGGGCGAGGGCGCGGGCGCGGGCGAGGGCGAGGCGCGGCTGCGCGCGGAGGTGCAGCTGTGGGAGACGCACGACGAGCTGGCGGCGCTTGTGGAGAAGCTGACGAGCAGCTGCGGCGGCTTGGCTGACGGGGGCCAGGATGGTGGAGCTAGCGCGGTCGTGTCGACGGGGCTTGACGCGGCAGTAGCGGCAGCGGCGTGCTGAGGGACAGCGCTAGCTTGTCGGCTCACAACCAAACAACACTGCTCAGCAACTCTCAACGATACTCTTGTATGTGGTCATATTCGCTTGGCTTTCCTTGTCTGTGCTTGGCGCATTGTGTGGCGCACCAACATTTTGCTGATGTGGTGCCATGTCACTTGACTTTGCTAGTACAGCCTGTGCACCACCAGCTGCCTCCCAGAGATGACACATCCAAACACTTCCAGGCCGCCGGTGCCCCATCCTCTGGTATGTGCTCCCCCGCAGTACACCAGCCGCACCATTGCCGTCCGAAATGAGTGCCGTGTAAGGGACAGATTTGGCTCGTGTAACCGCCTACAAAGCAGCAGCGAGCGTCAACCGGACAGGGGGGCTTACAAGTGCAATTGAAACACAACAAGTAGCAAGCGGGTACCAACCTGACTGTAGTAATCTCAACACTTGGTGAATCACTTGACCCCATCGAACCAATAACTGGTGCTGACAGCGACAGCAGGCACAAAGGCAAGCAACATCCCTGCATCATCCTCTCTCGACAAGGCAAGGTTTGGACCTGATTTCAAGCAAATGTGTCGGATGTTTGACCTCTGACAAACGTGCTCCCGTGCAGCGGGACACAACACAAAGCCACGTGCGTGCGTGTGCGGGGGGGGGGGGGGATATGTGCATGTGGGCCCTTTTCGGTGAGGCAGGGGTTGTTGGGGCACCGTAGTCAGTGCGTGCAGCCCATTCGGGCCGCTCGTTGCCGCCGGCGCGGCGGCAGCGTCTCGATGAATCCTCGCATCGAATCCCACCAATCCTGCTAGTTTTGGTAATCGCATTGATCGGGGCAAGGGGCAGCACGCGTACCCCTCCCTTAATGTATGGATTGGCAATTGCTCATATGTATGGGGAACGCATCGTGAGAGAGATGAGAGGCGCTGGCCCTCTCATCCTTTGCTCCTTGCAAAGCAAAAGGTGTGTGCAGGTTCTGCCATCAGCCACACGACGAGCGATGAAAAGAGATCAAAAGAGCGGACAATGGCCTTCATGCAGGGAGATTTGAGCCTGCGAGGCTGCAAGGCAGGCAGTCTTGCTCCTGCAGGCTGCGGCATGCTGTGGTGGGGTGCGCGGCACAGGGCAGGGCAGGATGAATCGAAGGGGGCGAAGAAAAGGAATGCCCGATGAGCGGGAGCTGGGATAATTGAGGAGGGGAATAGGCAGCAACCCAGCCAGCGGACACGCATGCAGCAGTTTGGAATGGCAGACCACGAGGTTCGTGGAAGGAGAGCGGTTGATGGAGGGACATCTAGGCAAGCGGGGCACGCGCCAGCCCTGCTGGTGCCGCGCATGCTGGTTGTCAATCGACCCAAGAAGCCCAATGCACAGGACTCGCAGGGCCGAACCAGGCAGCCTCAAGTCCATTGCCGGGCATGCAGCAGCCGAAATGATGAGCTGCTGTTGTTTTTTGGGCTGGCCTGGTGGCCAAGAGGTCCAGGGGTATACCTGGAGGCCAGTGGGGCGCTCCAGCGGACAGCCACCGGCCGAATCGCCCCTCACACATCTGATGCAAAGCAACATGTGAAGCGGCCGCACAAGATGTTTGAACGGCGGCCGGCGCTCTCGCGCCGCAAAAGGCGCTTGGCAGCCAACAGGCAAGGGCCAACTGTTGGCACAGCGGCGCATGGGCGAGTGCACAGCTGGGTATGCTGATATGCAGGAGGAGCGACACATGAGCGTCACAACAGGTCTCATAACGTCTCGTGATTCTCACGGCTCATGGCCATGCAGCGGCCGCGTGCAGGCGGTACTAGCTAGCGATTCATGCAGCCTGGTTTGGGTGGAACAGGAAATTGGTTGCGCCGGGTAAGAGGCAAACACACATTGCGAGCGCTCCCAGTGTAACTTGTAAAACTGGGATGTTTTTAGGCGCCACCACCACAAGAGACTGAGCAGGCCTGCCAAACAGGCGCCCCACCAGCAAATTTTGCTCCATCCGTGGCAGCTGGAGAGGTGGATGACGTCACTAATAGTCCGTATGCCCCAAACACGGGCGCCATCATGCTGGCGGTGCTGGCCACGCGCCGGCCATCACTCTTCCTTGGAGTGCACGCCGCCGCTTGTTGCTTCGGCGGCCGCGGGCAGCGGGTGCCCACACTCGCGCTCGCGGCCCTGCCGGCGCTCACAGAGCCACCGCGACCGCAGCACCCACTCGCACCAGAACGAGACTGCCGTGCCCGCCAGGCCGCCGGCGGCCACAAGCATGTTGACCACCCAAAACGATCCGCCGCCCTGGTGAGGGGCGGCGGCGCCCGGGCCGCCGCCGGAGATCGATGCGGGCGCAGCAGCGGCGGTGAATGTGGCTGCAGCGTGCTCCAGAAGGTTCAGCAGGATGCAGAGGAGCGCGCGCTTGGGGCCCAGCTGCAGAGCAGCCAGTTCAAGCATCTGCGGGTTTGGTCGATGGGTTGGGAGGGAGAGAGGGACCGGGTTTGGAAGGTAAGGGACGCCGATCCAGGCGTCCCAAGCCAGCGGAGGGGATGCGCGCGTGGGTGGCCGGCTCGCGCGTGCAGGGCTGTCCCCCTGGCGTTAGCGCCGCCACTTGCCAGGGCGGAGTGGAGACTTGGTGTTTGTTCGGGCGGCGCATGTGGGGGACTGCTGTGGCCCGTCGATGCAGCTGAAGCGGCGATTAGCGCTGACCCCGTCGAAAGTCTCGGGTGTGCACGCGCCCGTGCAATCGGTCAGCCCCCTAGCAACGCCCTGTCCTGCTCACACACGCACGCCAATCCCCTCCCCGCTCCAGCCAGGTTCCGGAGCGCACTGCATTCGGGTCCTACCCACCTGCAAGCATGCCACCTGGAGGGCGGGCCGGGCGCCTATGACAGCGTAGGCCCCGCGCAGCCGCTCCCCTGCCAGCCCCCACGCCGCCAGCACCGCCGCCAGCGCCGCCACCGCCTGCGCCGCGCACGCCAGCCCCTCCCGCTGCCGCGCCGCCCGGCGCCACGCGCCGCCGCGGCGGGCGAGGGCCCCGACAGAGAGGGCGAGGGCGGGGAGCAAGGACAGTGCCAGGTAGGTTGCAGTGGACAAGAGCTGCGGAAGCTTGGGAGTCAGCGGCTGGTGGGAGGTGCCGAGGGCGACAGCGATTGAAGCGGCCTCTGCCGTCGCGAGGGGGACAGACAGGCCCCAGACGCTCGCCGATTTACAGACTGCGAAATCCTCCTCGTCTGTCCAGTCTGGGAAGCCGGACAGGTAGGCGCGCAGCAGGCCGCGCCCGGCGGACGGATCGTGGTGTTGCCCCGAGGGCGGCGCAGGCGTCGGGTGTGACCAGTCAGGAGCTGGAAACGTGGCACCCGCGGCGGCGGCGGCGGCGGCGCCGCCGCCGCCGCCGCGCGG